CATAGACTTACCTCCACATGGTTCACCCTGGGCAACGTATACTCATACGACAAAAAAGTCTATTAACTGGCAGTTGACTTCTCACTTCAAACTACAATTGACTCACCGTAAGTCATATTCTACCACTTCCGCAATACTAATCTTACCTCTTCTCTGCCTTTGTGTCTGTATGTCTCTTTTACTTCTTTGAAACACTCTTCTGCTCCCATCCCCCTTTCGACTTTTTCACCTTGATATTGCTCCTCCTCTCTGTAAAGCCCAAAGGCAGCTAAAGGGCTAATGATAACTATCAAAACGCCTGCCATTTGAAATAAATATATTGGGTATGGCTGGGGTGATGACACCTTTCAGACCCTCTGTTCGCTGACGAACAAATGCCATGAAAAGCCACAAACAGTCGATTGAGAATGAGAGGCGAGTGCGTGCGCACTGCAGACGTGTTAGCTAATCGTAGAAAGGTGATCTTGTGAACAAACAAAAGGCAAATGACAAAAGCTTAAAAAGCAGACAATGCTCATAGATAGGCAAAACATAATTGTTTATTCGATTTCACTATTTAACTAATTTAAAGCAAATAATTTTAAAGCTAAATCTACGCCAAGATGGTCATAAACGTTTGGCCTCCTGTTACATTAAAAGGAAATATTCGCATAAGTATTTGAATTTGTTTCGAATTATACTTAATCATCCGCTATAATTTTATCTTTCCCATAGAGGACGAGTTTTGATTTTAAACAGAAAAAATAAATAATAAAATGAATTTATATTTAGTTACTAGTTGAAAAGTGCAATAATGTGTTCCACTACTGAAGGGGCCAATATATATATATATATATATATATATATATATTATTAAAAAAAATGCATTCCATTTTATTTTTCACTAAATATTGCGGCGAGGGAAAAAACTTAAAGTCTAATAACCATAAAATTTTATTTTCATACTATCTTCCAAGAAGAATGAGAATTTGTTTTTTTTTCAAATTTCAATTATAAGAAAAACTTGAATAACAGAATTCGCAAACCCTACCACTAAGGTGTGAAACCTGAAAAAAGTGGTTTCGAGTTATTGTTTCGCAAAAAAGGAGAATATCAAGCCCAAACTACCTGACCCTCAGGCTCATAAAGTGAGGTTTTGTCCACTTTATGGGGAGCCATTTAATTATGTTAATCCATTTGAGCATCTTTACAGCGAAGGTCATGTTATTGAGACTCGTATCGACAAAACCACCAACACTGCTATTCGTTCAACCGCTTTAGGTTTAAGATTAGTACACACCCATGACACGATTTTCTCCCATTCACCAAATATTCTAGAGTTCCAAAGCAATTAAAATGTTCTATTTCTTTAATACTGCCTTGCCTTGGCAATCTCGAAGAAAGGTGTGTTCCATTCTTTGCGTTTAAAGGCGAACAAGCTTCCATTCTTGTTCATGTACTAAAATCTATTTTGTGTCGATTTGCTTTGCTGGAATAGTTTAGAAAACGAAATACAATTGAAACTTTGATTGCATTCGCTGTATTGACCAAGTTGATGATGGGTGGAAGATTAAAATTAACCAAATATGTCTACTTTTGCCCTCTTGAATATGATTTCGGTTTCCCATTAACCTCGAATAATATACGAGAAAGTGATGCGGTACATGTGTTGTAGAAGATTTTCGAAGAGCATCAAACAAATAATTTTTATCACAAGGGGATGGGGGTTGAGGAGAGTTAGGGATTGGATAGGTGTAAAAAAGCATTAACGACTGAGATAGTTGATCACACACTGTATTTTAACATTTAATATATGGATAGAAGTTAGTCCTTCGTGTGAGATGATTATTCCAGTGTATTAAATCTGTTTTTTTCACTTCGTTTGTTTTTTAATTTACCATATCCTCTACAGAATCCAAATCTTTTATGCACCAAAGTAGCTATTTGACGTGTAATTTGTCCGTACAATTTTTTTTGAAAAATGTTACATTTGTTCTTAATTTTGTTGCACACTGCAGGTGTTTTAGTGAAGCATAAGAGTAGGAGGCGGGAACTGCCATTTCTATTAAAAAAACTATCCTAAAGAAGTGGATTAAGCTAACACAAAAAAACAGCCGAATGTCATTTACTGGTTCATATATAGTCTAGACTATATATATATATATATATATATATATGTATATATTGAATTAATAAACAATTTAAATATGACAAAGGCTTTCAGGATAAGAAAAATCGAAAAAAATTATAGGCTGTGGTTGGAAAAATTGGAGAATCGAAATTTCGCATTTTTGTGTTTAAAAGCCAAACTGTTGATCTGACTCAAAATGACAATTTAAGGATTTATTTTTTTTTCATATTTTCCATATTGTTCAGAAGTTTCCTTTTTTATTCGAAAATAGTTAATCCAAACGTATGATTAATGCTTATGCTATGATTCGATGATAATTAAAGCAATGCTGCAATATTAGGTTTTAATTAAATTATTTTCTCCATAAGCAAAAAATAATGAGAAATTAAAACACATTATGCTAACAAGATCACTTTATAGTGTCAAATGGTATGAAGAAACCTCATAAGTGTAGGTATTGAGTCCCAATTAGACAGAGCATTTAAATGCACATGTATTTAATGTGGCACCACCGTCCATTATTACAAAAATCCAGAAAATATTTGAAAATTTTGGAAGTCCTTCTCAGATGGATCATTGCTATTAGTCTTGATGTTCAGCAAGAACATTGACAAGCTTTAATTACAGGAAAAAAGAACATTGGAATAAATGTAGAAGCAGGGAGCGACTTAATAAATAAGTAAGTAAGGATGCATGAAAAATGCATTTTTTACTTTTTGAATTGACTTGGATATTTCGTCGAAATGGAAAGAGCAAAATTTGTGATGACCACTAATTCGATCTTCATGGTTGATTGACAGATCCACTGGTGCAATTGTGTCTGTTATATTCAAGAACTTTTAATTTTTTTATTTAACACCACAATTGATCAAGTGAGTTAAACTATTATTCATTCCAATTTCTTCTTAGCGCCCTAACTCATAGTAGAAATAAGAGTATTTCTAGTGAATTTCCTGTAATATTTCGTTGAAATTCACCTTTCGTTGCCTTTTAAACTTGCTCTAATTATACTTTAGTAGTTATTCACAAATAATACAATCTTAAATTTTATTATAACGAGTAAGGTTTGAGGTTTTCAACTATTTTGCAGAATGGGATCTTATTGAAAACTATCGTCCTTAGGTGACCAAAATGTTGTTTAAAGATAGTATGCACACAATTTGACAACAGGGTGATCGTTGAATTAATTACTCTACTACAATAAACAAAATCAATTGATGAAACTAGATAATTGATAGTTAATAATTAGAAAATACCCATTGTCGATGTTTTGAGAAAGAATACCTTCACGTTTCCGT